CTGCCACGCATTACGTATACGCCGTGTGTGTGCGTTGCCGCATTGGATGGTGGCTGGTGGTTGCTGGCTGGTGGCGCGTCATTTATTAAATTAGCCACAGCATTAGCTTCTCTCTTCTCGCACAGCCCTGGAAATGGCTGCCAAGGGCGCGTCAGGTAATTTGTAAATTTCTGACAGATGCGCTGATAAACTCATTGCAGAGATTTCTTTGGGCTACCTCTCACTTGCCGCCCGTCGGTGGGTGTATGTGGTGGTGGGTGATTTGTGATTTATGTGGGTCTTATTACGGCTGGGCTGCCTACATAACAATACTTTATTCGCAATACTTTGGGCCATACGTAATGTAACATCACAAAGGGAACAACGTGAACGAGAGATTGGTAACAGTAACAGTAACAGTATCAGTAAAGGTATCAGTAACGGTGACGGTGACGGGAATCGATTCGTGGCCCTGTCAGTGTCTGCCTTCAAGGCGAAACCTCCTGAGTCTGGGTGAGCTTGGTTAGCTCCGGATGGGCGGACAGCGACTGGTTGGGCTCTGGCGCCAGCGGCGGCTTCGGCAGACTGAAGAATTTCTGTAAATTAAATTTGTGAAAAATGAAATTAGGCTACGGCTGCTTTGCATAATTTAGATTATAAATTAGATGAGCCACGGGAATCCAGATGGAAAAAGAGCCTTTTGGGACTGTACGTATCTGGTGAGAGGTGAACGAACTCCGTCTCCGTATCCGTCTCCGACTCGAGGTATCGAAGGAAGTAATTATGAAAAGGAGACTCTGATTGCTTACATCGTGCCTGCCAAAGTTTCCAGCCTCCTCCATGGTGTCTGGCAGCTTCTTGTGCAGCGTCTCGGGCAGGAACAGGGCTCCAATCCCACCCAGCAGAAAGAGGGTGCCCAGAATGTAGTAGGGCGCGCGGATGTTCACCGTGGTGCCCAGATAGACCAGATACGGGGCCAGCACACCGATGGCATTGGCCAGGATGGTGCCCAGCGCCACTCCCGTCTGCCGCATGCACGTGGGATAGATCTCGAGGCACTGCAGGTTGACGGTGAAGAAGGTGATCGCGTTCAGGAACTTGACGAACGTCGCCAGGTAGATCATCAAGTACTCGTACCGCTCGTCCGTCGCATACACAATGATGGGCACGCAGGTGACGAACGAGACGAGAAAGGACACCGAGTTGGTGAAGCGTCGTCCATACGTATCACCTGTGATGGCAAAAGGCACCGTACAGTGGAGAACAAAGAGAGCGAGATGATGGGGCGACCATTGCCCCGTTTCTCAATCAGCGTCAGCGTCAGGTCTTGGCTGGCTGCACACTCACCCAGATAACGACCCACAATGTAGGCGGGAATTTCGACAATGCTCTGATACAAAAAGTTCAAAAAGGGATTGCCGGCCATGCGGGAGCTGAAGAGGACCAGCGTGAAATAGGAGACGGCCACGACGCACCTGAAAGCCAGAGAGCCAGAGAGCCAGAGAGTGGTCAGCAGTTAGACATGCAAATTGCTTTTCGTCGGACGGGGTCGGGACGGCCAGGCAAGGCGGGTCCTTGTCCTCGTCCTCGTCCGACTCTGAATGCGTGTTACCAGCTCACCAGCTAAAGCCCATGATTGTGGTGTTGCGGGCCAGGCGCCAGCCGGCGAAGAGCGAGGCAATGCCGTAGGTTACATCCTGCTTGTCCTGGCTGTAGATTTCCGCCAGCTCTTTCTCGGTCATATCGAAATGGCGGCCATTAATTTTGGCTATCTTCCTCAGCTGCACAATGGCGTCGCGGAAGCGCCGTTTGCTAATCAACCAGCGCGGCGATTCGATGACGTATCTACGGCCAAAGAATTGATGATGATTCAATTGGTGTTTGGGGATTGGGGATTTGGGATTCGGGATTGGGAATGGAGGATTGGGCTAACAGATGGGAATGGGAATGCTTTTGTCTGACTTACTTGGAGAAAATTAAAACCGTCGCCGTGGGCAACGATGTGAGCCACATAAAGGAGTACCAGTGCCCCAGCCACCAATAAAGCAGCGGCATGAACGTGGTGCCAATGGACCAGCCGCAGCTCTGGAAGAAGGCAATGCGACTGCGATCCTCCCTGGAGTCGAGTGGAGCGGTGTCGGTATAGACAAAAAGTTAGTTAGTTCAGCCAGCCAGCCAGGGGAGCGAAAGAGAAACTTTGTTCAACTGTCAAACTTACTCCCGTGAGATTTCCATGCCAATGATTTGGGGCGACTGGAAGAGACTGTTGACGGTGAGGCCCACGATGCCGGACATGATGAGGAACCACGTATACGAGCTGGTGCACATGATGGACCCGATGCGTCCCAGGGAGCAGAACACAACGCTAATGTAGTAGACCAACCTGCGACCATAGCTGGACGCGGACACGGGACACGGCACGGGACAGAGACATTGGAGAAATTCAATTACTTGCCTTCTCATAACTTAGTTTTCGTGGAGTGGAGTGGAGAAGTTACGTAGTTGCTCCTGTACTTACGAGTCTCCCATTTGTCCCAATATAAATGAGCCAGCCACCTCCGTCACACGACCCACAACGAACACATTTGTCACGAACAAATCCTTGGCACACACCCAATTGTGGTCCGTGGGAATCGTGCTCTCGTACCAGGTCTTGTCATAGCTCCAGCCGTTCTGGCAAGCTGCGCAATGGGCATGGCAAATGGCAAAATGGCAAACGGGAATGGAAATGGTAATGGAAACGGTCGTAAAATGCATTCGAGTGCAAAGTTGCAAAAATTTATAAGACAGCAGGGAGAACAGAACAACGAAATGCCAAGTAATTTCACCACTAATCTGGCCAAAGTTCTGCTCGTATTCCAGCGTACACTTTCTTAGGGAAAAACGCTGAATCGAAGTAAGGCAAGCTTTCGCAGCTCGGATTGAATTGAGCTGTAATCCTCGCCTCTTTGTCAACATCTAAGCCGTTTCTAATGCCTCCGAAGATAGAGTGTAAGCTGGAACACCCTCCTCTCTTACGCACCTTGTGTTTGAGTGGTTCGCAGGCTCGTGTTCCAGGTGGACCAGTCCTGGATCTCGGTGAAGTTCATTTGGTACATCTCACAATTGCTGAATGTCTCCCTGCCACGGTTGTCCGCCTGTCTAGTCGAACAGAAGGTATCGTACAGGGGCACAAGGATTGGATGGGACCTTTCCGCACTTACTTGGGCAGCGTTATGTCGCGCCATTGGTCCAGCGTGAAGTTTGTGTTTTCCCGCCCGTGAACGGTGCACCAGTGATGGGGTATGTTGAGGGCCAGAATGATGTTCATGTAGATCATGGCACCGCTGAAGGCCAGGCCGGCGACGAACAGAAAGTTGTAGAGGGTCTGGTAGCGGCCATGGTTGCCGGCCTTCTCCATGAGCGCCTGGAAGGGATCGTTCAGCTCCGACTCATCGATGTCCATGTGGGAGACGCGGGAGGCCTTCCGGCTGTTCGCCTTCTCCAGTCTCTCATTCATTTTGCACTGTTGTTGGAGTGGCCGCTGCTCCTGCTCTGGCACCGTGGATATTACTCGGTCGGTTATAGGGCCCTGATAACGAGAGTAATCTTTATGGCATCGCAGCTTAAGAACTTCGCACTAAACGAGAAGCAGTGCTTTCTCGCCAATTCCTACAGAGGTCTTATGAAAATTTTTGGCGCCGGAGCAGTTGTAAAAATCTTTAAGCTATGTCTACAATCACTCGTACAATTGCTTGTCATAATTTTTGATATTGAAACGGAATAACGACCCGAGTTTGTTTGCTTAAAACTGACGAATTTGTTTGCTATCAATAAAACTTTTAACCATTTCATGATGAAATATTTATCAAACCTTTGAAAGAGAGAATGAATCTAGTGCCCAGATATCTCGTACGTTAATTGATAAAAGCAAATGGATCCAGTGCACAAACACCTAAAACTACTCAACACCTTACGGGACTTAACTGATAAACGCTTTAAATATCAATCGCAGTCCAAAAATGTTTAATCTTAAACTCAGAAACTTACCTTATGGCCGGCACAGAAGATTGTTTTGTTTTACTTGACCAACGGCAGGAATTTTGATAAACTTCTGAGCAACTTTTAGTTTATTTTGCACCTTAGAATTTGTCCTGCATTTGGTTTAACAATTTGTGCTTTGAAGGCGTTGCAGGATGCACGTTGCACTCCTATAAGTTCATCCCAATCTGAGGGAAATTTGAAAATGTAAATGGCTTTTCACGGTTCGAGGGCACTGTTCACATCCCGCCTCGAAATGGTGAAACTTTTTAGGGCTGGCACGAGAGCTCATCAACTGTTACCAACACCCTACGGTGTTGCTTTGAACGGCTGGTCGGGTCTGTGGCCACTTATCAGGCCAAGATGGAGCATACGGGTATACGGCATTATAAAGTGAATAGCTGATAACAGAGATTGTCTTTTTAATTTACACGATTTAACTGGTAAACGTCTAACAATTACGAGAGGTCCCACGCTCCACACGGAGCGGTGCTGATGGCGCGACGGCACTGCACCTGACAAATTTATGATCCTACTTTTATATAAGCCCGAATTGAGCAGGTTATGGCTACCACTATTTTCGGCTGCCACGGCAAGTGTTATCACGAAATGTGCAGATAAGAGCATTATGGGTCAACATGCTAATCAGTCGGCGGGTGTCGGGCAGTGGAACGGCAAATGGGTGGAAGTATTTGATGGATTGGCCTGATGGACAAGAATCACAGGGCATTATATAACACTTAATCGTTAAAATGTTTACATTTCCCATACACAAGCAGATCTTTAATTGCGATTGCACATGCATCTTGAACTTTATTGGGGGCTGTCAGACAGAAGCAGAGACAGAGCTCGGCGCTCCTATGTCTCAAAAAAGATAAGGTACTCGCAGATACGGATGTCGGAGATAAAGACACATTTCGGGAGGCTAGACAAAAGAGCTTAAGCTCGATTAGAACCAGTTGATTAGACCGCGGATCAGCGGGCATGACCCGTCCCACCAGGAGACCCATCCAGGCCCACTTCCGCTGCACTTGCACTCTGGGTTTGAGCGTTTTTCGAGGCACACACTCAAACACTTAACGAGCATCTGTATGTTTTTATTTACTTATTAGATTATAGATATGATTTAACTTTGTTTTTGTTCTTTATCTTCGAAGATGCTGCTGCCTGACGACTGTGACTGGGAACGCGTACGCGCATCGACTGTGACTGAAACTGAGCTGAGATGTTGAGATCTTGAGAAATGAGATCTTGAGAACTGAGAAACTGTAGCAGCAAATGAGATAAAGTCTACTTAGCTGGGTATGTGCAAATGCAATAATATCAATTTTCATATTTTCGTATACCAGCCGAACCTACGAACGAAAGACAAAGCAATTTAACAATTTACTAAAGCACTTAAGCGCAAATTTAGATCCCGCCCGTGCTGATACTGGAATCGGAGCCGCGAGACGCGACTACTTAATAGACGCTGTAAAACGTAAGCCCCCCAAAGGCACTGAGCGACTGTCCCTCTATGAATAAACATCATCATCCCCATGCAGTATAGATCTGGGATAAGAAGTAGATCTCAGATTTAATCAGCGCAGATTACGGAGGCGCTGTCGCTAATCTATTGACTGTCAGCGGCACCGTCACCGTCACCGTCACCGACTCCGACACCGACCCCGTCGTGCCCATCTGAGCGTGCCGAGTGTTCCTGGTCTATACATATATTCTTTGACATTTGCAGCAATCATCGGCTCAGTCGGAGGGTTAGGTGAATCACATGGGCTGCCGAGGCCGTGGCTGTTGCTCTGCCCTGCGCCCAATTGCTCTCCTTGAGCGTCGTCGAAATTGCTTCCTCCGAAAGTCATTTAGGCGGTCTCTTTTGTCCGATCAAATGGGGGACCAGATGGGGCATGGGCGCACGGCCAAGGGTGAGGGCAGGTCAATGCCAATGATAGCCAATAGATGTTAATGATGGGCTTGATCATTGGAGGCAAAGATCTCCACACGTGGCTGGCCCAGCCGGAGAGCCCAAAAGTGTGCATCACAAATTTGATTGAACCAAACCCGAGATAAAAAGTCTTTGGTTGATGTTTTACTTTTTAGATATGTTCACTTTTATTTAAAGAAATTTACTTTGATTTATGTGTAAACACGAATCATCGCTTGCCATTTTCTTTGTATCTTTTTTTGTTTTCGATTTCGATTTCGAATTCGTTTTGGTTTTTAGTTTTGTTTGAAAATTTCTTCTAAAATTTACTCGTGACTCGTAATTTAGTTTGCGCTCACTTTTTACTGTGTACTAATGGAATTTTACTGGCTTTTTGTGTTGTGGCTGTCGGTGAGTAATGGTGTGTGTGTGTGTGTGTTTGTGTGTGTGTGTGTGTGTGTGGGCTGACTTAAAAATCAATTTTGTTGCTCTTTTTAAGGTTAAACTTTAATATTGCTTATATATTCTTTCTTTAAATTACATCATTTTACAGTGATAATTAGAAGATGCTAGCACTTGCCGTGTGGTTGTTTCTTGGTTTCTTGGGTTCTCTCTAATATATAAATAATCTGGTTTTTAATTTAACTTTGATACAATTTACAGTTGAAACACTTAAACGTTATTTGGATAGTTAAATTTAAAAATGCCTATAATCCAGTATTCTTTACTCTCTCTATTGCCTCGAACTTTCTATCTTAATTTGTAGCTGTATCTGTATCTTTATCTTTATCTGGCTGTAACACGTGCGTTTTGTTTGTGGTTTAAATTTGATTTAATTTATTTGGATAGATTTAGATTTAGTTTTAGAGTAGATGAATTATCCATGCGATTATCGATACTATCTTATGTTCAGGTTTAATTATGTTTCGAGTAAAAGTCAAAGCATTCTCCCCGTCCGTCACCATCCATTTACAATAATTGCCATATATTTTATATGCTCTATGCTAGGCTATGCTATGCTATGCTTCAATATGTATTCGAATCAGTTTATTCATGTTGTGGATGTAAGTATATTTAATGGGGTTTTATTCGTAGTTGTTGTGCCGTTCGTCGTTCATTTATTTAACTAATTCATGGAAACTGATTAAAAACATTTGCGCTGCCTGACTAATTTCATTGTCTGCTTTTGATTATCGCTAAATCGCTCTTATTGGTTACATTTTGATATCTTTTCCATAAATGGCATAAACTGGATCGTATCTCCCTATCGCCGCCCCCCGGGCTATATGTACACACGATCCGCACACGATTCGCTACGATTTGAAAATATTGCTTAGCGTACATTACATTTCTCCTTTAAATTTTGTTGTTTTTTTTTTTTTGGCAATTTTTATGTTTTTACAAGTTTCTGACGGATTCTCATGGTCTCCCGATATATTCATTTAGCATTTAGCATCCATTTCCTTTACATTAATTGTTACTTATACGAGTATAAAACAATTAAAATTAGTATCGAATGGCAGTTTGGTGTTTGTGTCTATAAATATTTCGTTTGTGGTTCGTCGTTGGCTTATTAAAATTGAATTGGTCTATTGCTTGCACTCCTCCAAGTGAGTGCTTTAAAATAGGAATCATTCAACTCGAGGGTTGTCTGCGTGTGTGGTCTGTTCTTGTTAATCAAAAGACGTTGGAAAGGAGTCTTTCTGTGTGTGTGTGTGTGTGTGTGTGTGTATGTGTAAAATGCAATTCAAACTGGACGTTTCACAATATCACGTTGAGAATTATACATATGCCTATGCAAAGCAATTGAACAGGAAAGCAAACGGGTTGGAAGGACACAAGTCTCATACACATACACCGATACGAAGCCTGCTGTGAAAGAGCCAACTAAAAATAGTCAAAACATGTTCAGTACTTTACCAAGTATACATATATAGAATATCTCTTTCCCTCTTTCTTACTTAAGTGTAGGTATAAGTATAAGTGTGTGTGTGTTTTATATATTTGTGTAAATGCCAACATTATCGGAGGAAGGATTGACTGACTGACTAACTCTGACTGAGGCCAAAGCCTGCTACACTCTGCCTCTTCACCTTCATCTGTTCTGCCTCTGCTCCTGCTACTCCTGTCTGTCTATCTCTCTCTATACACTATACATTTGAACTGAAAGACGCGTGTTGGCCTTTTGTTTTCACTATCGAATCACAGCAATTGAAATACACTTAACTCAAATACAGTTTACAGTTAATCCAAGACTAAGACCTAGACTAAGAATTTGATGTAGTAAATGGGTTATTGATCCTTGTCGTCCTGATCCTGCAGCAGCTGCTGGACGCCGCCACTGCAGCCGCCGCCGCCGCCGCCGCCGCCGCTGTTGCTGCTGCCGCTCGTGTTCTTGCGCAGATGGTTGCGCAGCATGACGAGATTCCGGTTGAGGGGCACATTGCTGGAGGGGGCATGCGGCAGAGTGTTGCAAATGTTGCCCAGCGGAGCGGCGGCCATCGCCCCGCTGCCGACGGCACTGCAATGGGCCCCGATGAGGCTGGCCGAGGCCACCGAGGTGGTGGGCGATGTGGCGCCCACGCTCAGGCCGTGACCGTGGCCCAGGCCCAGGCTCAGGCCCATGCCAGCGCCCACGCCCAGCAGCAGCTCGTGGGCCAGGATCGTGGGCAAATGTTAAGTGCTGCTCTTCAGCGGACCCGACGATAGCGAACTGCTGCTGACGCCCGAGTCGCTCGACTTCTCACTGAGTCCGCCACGTGTGAGCGTATCGTCAGCCATAAGTCCGCCGCCGCCGAGAAATGACTTCTTGCCCACCCGGCCGCCCGGCAGCGTCGCCTTGAACGGATTGTCCTTGCACCTTCGCGCACTCTCCACGCGCTTCATGATCTCGCTGGAGCACTTGGTCACCACGTCGTCCAGGCTGTTCGACTCGTCCGTCGAGTTGACCGTCTGCGTCGGTGTCTGGGAGCTGGGCAGCGGCGAGCCCTCGTAGCAGCCCGAGTCCCGCGGAAAGTGCCGCCGGCCGAAGGGCGAGGCCCCGTGCTTCTTGTTGATGTTGTTCAGGCGGGCCTCATCGTTCTCCGAGCTGGAGCCGGCTATGTCCACGTCGGAGCCTGTACGGGTGAAATTTGTAGCTGTAGTTGTGGCATGTGTGTGTGGGTGTGTGGGTGTGTGGTGAGAGTGTGGCCGAGGTTGTGGGTTAGATGGAAATTCCCCAAAAGAAGGTCTACAAATGGATTACAGTGGGGCTGGGGTGGGGTGGGGCACTTACATTCAATGTCATGCAGCAGCTGCACAGCCGTCAGCAGCTTGGCCCGATGCTCCTGATTGAGTATGCCCAGATAGTCGAGATCGGCCGGTTCCAGCTCCTTGAAGAGCTCGAGATCCTCGTACCTGCAAATGGAACGATAGGTGAAACAATCCAACACAATAAAGGTTGGTTAATTTGTTTCATCTACACCACTTACCCGTTGAGCACGAACACGGACGTGTACTCCTTGAGGCCGATGCGCACCAGCAGATCCTCCACCGAGCTGGGTCCGCCGCCGCAGCCGCCGCCGCCGCCGCCGTTGTTGCTGCCGTTCGCGCTGCTGTTGCCGGCACTGCCGTTGTTGCCGCCGCCCAGCCGGGAGCCGGGGGCCAGGGTCTTGCTGCTGGAGTTCTTCAGGCGCTGCTCGGGCAGCACTTCCACGTTGATGAACTTGAAGTGTCCCACCCGGCCGTGGCAGCGACCCTTCCAGATGCCCGAGGCGTTCATCGACAGGACATCGATGAGCTCTCCCTTCTGCAGGCATAAATCAAACAACAGACATCAGAGGGGGGGGGGGGGGGGGTCTTCTATTTGGTTTGGTGTATATTTTACCTTAAATTTCAGGGCCTCCTTGTCGTAGGGATTGGGCAGACTGTCCACCAGGGCCTTGGCCTTGCAGATGCTGCTGCCGCTGCTGCTGTGGACCGCCATCGAGGTGCGATCCTCGGCCGATATGGAGCTGTGCGGACTGCCGGGACGCACCAGAGCCTGTGTGCCTGCAGCGAAAGGATTTAGGAGTTTGATAAATATTTACTATTATTCTAGGCCCCTCTGGATCAAAGTTTGTCTGGGGAAAATTTCCAATTAATGGGCCCACAGCCAATTAGCCGCCGGCAGCAGAGGACCTCAAGGAATTTTTCCCTGGACAAACATGCCCTCACACACACACACACACACACACACACACACACACACACACACACACACACACAAACGAATCGTTTGGTTAATTAAAAACTTTTCAAATATTTTCCCACACACACACACACACACACTGAGGCAAAGACAAAGACCTAGGCAGGGTCCGGGACTCCCAAAAATATTCAAATATGCACTTGAAGTTTTCCATTATTTTGTTGTTGTTGTTGTTTTTTGTGCCTTTTCTTGCTGTTTGGTTTTGGGCTGGCCAAAGCTTTTGGGCTAATCCTTGCTTTGTGTGTCCTGGTATTTTTCCTTGCACTTTTCAAAGTGCCCCCAATCGCCTCCCACCACCCACCCACCGCCCTCGTGCGGCTCTGCCTTTTGGGGGTTTATTTTTTGGGCAGAAAGTTTTGTTCATTAAAAAAGGGAAGCGGTTGCCCTTCATTTAACCACGCCCCAGACATCGCGCCAACCAGCAACTGCATTAAAAATTCATTAAGTTTTGGCAAAATTTTCGTGCAGCAACAGCAGCGTTGAAAGCCGCAACAAGAACTACAACTGTTAATAGACCAATATGCAAGCCAGGCAGTCTGGGAATTTTTCTATGCAACATCCACACCATCTGCCACACAGACAGCCCAGGCAGGGGCGGAGCCAGGAAGCAGGACAAGCAACAGACAAAATCAAACCCCGAAAAACTCCCAAATTGCAAGAGGGAGATGCACATACAGATACATAGATACTCGTACATAGATACGAGTGCAATTTGTTGTGTACTTACTCGAACCGGAAGCACTGGGCAAACTTTCAACGGAGCTGGCCGAACAGGCAAACGCCTGATCGCTCATGCTGCCACGGTCGGTATTGTCTTGGGAGTTGCTGAAATCCCTCGACGTATCCTTTGTGGCAACAAAGTTCCTTCCATTCTCATTAAAAGTGCCAATTTCCTTTGGCGAGCTACGCATCTCGCTCGACTGCCGAAACCGAATCCGAATCCCAGATCCCCCAAGTGAAAGTTGGATGAGTCGCCGGAGTCGTCATCGTTGTGCGATAAATTCCATGTTGAAGGGTGGAGTAAGAACAAAAACGGAGGGAAAGTTTTGTTAGTTAAATCATTAAAAAGTTTTAAACGAACATTCCAATACACTCTGAGAGAGAGGAGAGAGGAGGAGCGATGTCTGGCTTGGCTTCCGCTTTGCCTGTGGCTTTGCCTGTGGCTCTGGCTCTCACAATTGACCTCTTGACCACCGAAGGCTAATGACATGCCAGAGCGATTAAAGGACCTGCAGCTCATCTCACAGAAGGGTTTGCCTTTGCTCATACTCATATGTATATATATTTTTTTTGTTGGGCTCAAAAACATTTAAAGTTTCTCCGAAATGAACTTTCGCTTTCGCTCCGAGGATGGGCCAGAAAACTCATTAAACTGGCATTTGCATTTAGAGTGCATGTTGGTGGGCCGTGTCTCGCTTTCTAAGCCAAAGAGTTTAGGCCAACATCATTATGAGGGGCCTACGAGCAGAGCAGAGTGCCCCCCGCCGATTGCATATGCAAATCCAGCCAATGACCAGGCTAATTACATTTTGCAGGCCACAGAATGCGTCAACATTCGCTGCACAGCTGCCACCCTACCCCAGGATTAATTAACTTACATGATGCACGGTGGCCTTCTGGCAAATGGTGTTCGCCTTGCCGTGCGGCAGGCCATTCTTTTTGGCCTTGGCGGCCAGCAGACTGGGGGCCAGGCCGTGCATCCGCGTGGCCCCAATGTCCTCGTAGTCCGACGAGGGGCTGGGCGACAGCGACGGCGACTCCCCGATGCCGCCGCTCAGCGTCCGGTATCGGGCCGTGCAATTGTTGGTGCCAATCTGTCGGGGAGAGAAAAGACGCAAAAAGAAGTTGAGTGCGTTGCCGTATTAGCCAAGTTAAGGCGAGTCAACTTTGTCAAATGAAATGCTGATGTCCAGGCTGCAGGCACCACCCCCTCCACCGCTCCATGCACAACTTTGTTGGTATTCCGGCAACGTTTAGCCGGCTTAAGTGCCAGGAGAGGGACACAGCAAAAACTTGGCTAAAAAGCTTTTCAAGTTTTTATGCGCCCTCGTTGTGCATTTCGGCCAGACGAGACGAGACGAGACGAGACGAGACGAGACGACATTTGGCCAAATGCGAAGTTTGTTTGTCACAAAGAGCACTTAATCAATTTAGACGCAGTTGCAGATGCAGTTCGACGGGTGGGAGCTTGGAGCCTGCAACTTAAATGAGACCGTGCCCCGTGCCCCGTGCCCCACACTTACCGATACGGCACTGAGCCTGGAGGTAACGCTTTGTAGATCTGAAATGGAACCCGCATAGTCGCCGCTCTCACGATCATGGGATCTGAAAATCACAAAGAAAACAATTATTATGGCGAATTTCTTTAAATAATTCTTTAAATAAATAAATCTGTAAGTGTGAAGCTATCTAAAAGCCACCTGAGTCCTGAGTCCTGGAAAGGAACTTTAAAATCGTATTGGGCAAACATTTTGATGGCAAACAATAATTTTGGGCAAAGGTCTACAGCCAGCCAGAGGCTGAGGCTGAGGCAGAGGCTGAGGCAGAGGCCAGAGGTGGCCAGAGGTCGTGAGGCAAACAAAGGTCATATAAATAAATACTTGATATCGTTTTCCTGGCTATTTTTGTTGTTGTTGTTGCTTTGCTTTCCACCTTCCTTTTCGTCCGTTTTCGTCCGCCCCAGAGGCGCACAGGGCGTATACGTTATTTCAGCAAGTCCTTTTGTATGCGTACGTGTGGAAAACGCTTCACTGGGGGCGGGGGCCAGCCGGCTGCCACCCGGTTGATTGAGAGTAGAGCTCCATCTGGTGGATTGGCGTTGAAGTAGCAATAATGCCATTTCATTCAAGTGTCGTGCTGTCTCTGCCACAGCCACAGCCACTGACTTTTCGTCTTCGTTTCGTCTTCTTATTGGTTTTGACTGCCTGCCACCTGCCCTTGGCCCTTGCCCCATTATTGTGGCATGCGTAACAATATGAAATTGATGACTTTCGCTCCAATACGTTTCGATATGTTGGTCTGCCACTCCGTCACTCAGTCACTAATTCCCACATTCATTCCCCCATTCATTCATTCATTCATTCATTCATTCCCCCATTCATTCGTTTGGCTGATTCATTCATGTGGCTGCAGAGCATTGATAACCGCACTAATGAAGTGAAGACTAGGCTACCCTTTTTGCTGTCTGTCTGCTGGGTCAATCCTTTGGCGCACCTTTGATTGCTTTGCTTTCTTTTGGCCACCTTTGAGGGCTTTGGGCAGGCTGTTTACTGGTCCAAAAATGTTTGGCCTTTTCCATGGCCGACTGAGCAGGCATTTTGTGGCACAGTTTTATGGTTCAATGATCATTCGATGGCTTTCCTGCCCTGTCCTGCCGCTTTGCCCCTTTGAAGTCCAACCCAAAAAGGGGTCATATCATAACTGTCCATGCCTCCATGCCCCCCATTCCACTCCATCACAATCAATCCCTGCTCTGTCCCTGCCCCCACCATCGACTCTGGTTTCATTTTATTTATTAATGCGCCACCTTTACTGTCGGCCCTTCGGCCATAAACTCAACTGCAAATAATAATGGCAATCAACAATACAGCCCCCTGTATAGAGGGGGGGGGGGGGGGGGGGGGGGGGGAGGGCCACTCACCTGGCATGCGTTAAGGGTATTATTGTCGGTGGATTTGGCGGCTGTTGGGGCACGATAAGACCTCGACGCGGCGGCCCTCGTTGCGGTAGTGAAATATCTCCGGCGGATCTTAATGAAATTACGCCCGTGCTCTCGCGGTTGTTCGAGAAGCGTACACGGCCACCCTGCAACACAAAAAAGAGAAGGAAAGAGAGAGAGAGAGAGGGAGAGTCAGACATGGGGATTAGCATTCAAGTGGAATTTGTTGGCCGCCGTGGAGCAACAAAATTATGAAAAATTAACAAAGTTATAAAAGTTTATGATGGTAAAGCGACACCACCGTTGCGGGTGCTGGTGGGGCATGCCACACTTTTGCTGCCACCGCTGCTGCAGTGGAATTTTAAATTTTTTGGTGTTGTTTTTCGACAAACGGAAATTGCAAAGTTTTGTCGTTTTTTCTCGTTAATTTGGAATGGAATCTGGCTTAGAGAGAAACGTGGCTTAGAAGGGGCACTGGCCTGATCAAAGGTCGACCCAAACAATACAATTTCCACCCCCCCACCGCCCTCAAGATAACCCCATTAACCTTTTTTTTTTTGGCCTGGCCGGCGCAAAAGTTTCATTTCAATTTTAAACAAATTTCGTTTGCCACATCAAAGGGAAACATCGTCTCCGCTGGGACGACTGCCGCTCCGTCTTCGACTTCCATTCCGTTTCCGATTCCGTTGAGTGATTTCAATTGACTAAGAAAACAAATTCGCAAACCAACCAGAAAGAAGCCCAAATGCCGATAACTTGCCTAATGCGTTACCACAAAAGCGCAACTCACAGACGAAAAAAAAAAGGAAAACAAACCAAAGGAAAATTATGCAAAAGGAAAAGTCTCAAGACGCCAGAGAGAGCCAGGGCACACACAATACACAATCTGGCTGAAAGGAGAGTCAAAGTCGAGCAAGTCAACAAGAATTATGCACTTTTTGACTGTCAATAAAAATAAAGTGAGTTCGAGTCGCAGTGGCAGTGGCAGTGGCACTCAGCAAAAGGAGTGGCAGTAGGGGGAGGGGGTGGGGCAATGCCAAAGGACATACAAATCGAAGTTGGTAGAAATCAATGCGCCAGCACAAAAATATATTCAGCGTATAATTTAATAAAGCAAATAAAAGAGAGAGAGAGAGAGAGAGAGAGGAAAAGCTGAACGGGAAAACTCCCTTGCAACTTTTGTGGCTGGCAAATTCCGTAGAGAAATCAAAGCTGGAATTGGGATTGAGTAGGGGTACGGGTTCGGGTTCGGGATTGGAAAAGGGAGCCACCAAGTAAGCAGGATTAACGGCGCAGACAGAGAGGGAGGGAGAGAGAGAGAGAGAGAGAGACACAGAAGGCGGCTGGGAATATAAATCCAAAATGTGATTGCAACTGCGACAATGTTGCCCCTTTGTATGCCCTGGCTAGAGGGTGGATTCCACTGTCTATAAGGCAGGAACTGTCCTCAAAAACCATCGAGGAACCTGTAGAAAACATCAGGGTATGGCCAGGGCCTTGACTCTAAGGCTGCTTGGGGGGCAGACACTCACCTGAATGGTGGCAGCTGGTCCGCAGTTGAGGCCGGCCATCAGGAAGTCATCGGGATCGCTTTCGTAGGGCGGCTCGTCGTACCAATGACCTTGATGGTGGAGCGCACTCACCGCATAATGGGCCCCGCCTCCAATGCCCATGCCCATGGCCACGCCTGCCCCAGTTCTGAGGGCCTCGTCGTACATATAGGTGTCGTCTGCAACGGGATAGACGCAAGTTTCGAGATTATGTGGAGTCCACAGACAGTGGGGAGAACTTTAAAAACTTTTTTAAGCGCCCCGAAAAATGTGCAGAGAGAGAGAGAGAGAGGAGATGGCAACACAATATTATTATACGGAACGTTGCACACAAAACTTGAAATGCCATTTGCCACATGCGAGGCGCCCAGAAGTTGCTGCAGCTTTGGGCCTGGTCGTGGCTCGGCTTATGGTCGGCTGCAGGTCCCGGAAACGGACATAAGATTTTATGCTCGCTTATGCATGTGACGCTCGCCAGACGACAGCAAAAGCAAAAGCATTTCAAGTGTAAAATTCCCCACTGCATACTTTCGGGGGGCCAGCAGCTGCTCTTTAAAAGTTCACCCCCCCCCCACCCGCAGTCTGTGGGGGGTGGGACTTACCCATGCGTCCCTCGCCGCGACTCATTTGCAACAGACCCTGACGTATGTCACGCAGAATCTGCAAAAGACCAAAACAAAGTTGCATTAGTTTTTTTTATTTTTGGGGGGCTGATTCGATCGAGGCGAATATTAAAGTATTTTTTGTGTACATATTTCGGGCAGCACTTTGTCTGCTGCCGGGCCCCAGACGTGACTGCCGTACGGAATGCCGTCAACTTTTTGAAGGCGATGACAACAAAGGGGAAGCCCCCCCCCCCCCCGCCATCTTATTAGCTCTAGAGCTCAGGCAGCAGCAAAGACGTTAAAATTACAAAATTCCATTTGAAAAGTGATACAATTTTCCTGCCAGCGGAAGGAAAACTACTTGAATGTGACTTTTTCTTTATTTTCTCCGTTCCGTGTGCTCGGAATACTAAATATGTATATGGAAAATGCTGGGCGGAGGGCAGAAAGCATGCCAGGGCCGCAAACAGAAATGGCAATAGAAAAAAGTACCAAAAAAGGATGGAAAAAAGTACGAAAAAGGGACAGCAAAACGTACAGAAAATAGTACGAAAAAAAGACGAAAAAAAGTACAGAAAAATATACACCAAAAATACAAAAAAAACTACAAAAAATACTACTAAAAGTAGTAAAAAAAATTACAAAAAAAAGTACTTAAAGTAGTAGTAAAAGCAACACTAAAGCGAGCTCGCTCTCTCGCGCTGAAAAATTAGCTAAAAGCTTTTTTGGCCAGCAAAGCACACCCCTCCCCCCCCTGCCACTTGGCCTATTAAAAATGCATTCAAATGGCATTTTACTTGGGGGCTGCCCCCCACACCTACACACACACACACACATGTGCTGCGCCAGTTACCAAATTGAAATTTACGTGGCCAAGACACCGAGACCTGTCTTACAATTGTAATCACATTGCTCTGCTTAATGCAAACCCCCCCCGACCCCCGACCACCTTTTTGGGGAAAGAAATAGTAGCATGGCCAGGGCAAACATTTATCCTACATCCCAGAGATCCCCATCCTGCGGACTTTTGCTCTACGCTCGTCATAAATATTTCATGTGCATGGCTTTTACCAGCTTCTGGGCAGGGCAGGGCAGGAGGAGGGGACAGAGATGGTTCCAATCCCCCATGCCTTGTGAAGACTACTACAAAAACAGCAATTACAATTAGACAAACAGAATGTTGTTTGGCCAAGTTAAGCAGCAGCACTAACAACAATTCCCCCCATAGCCTCCTCCTGGACCTGCGCCTGCTCCTCGTCCTGGTGCTCCTGGTGCTCCTCCTCCTCCTCCTGTTGTGTGCTTTTCATTTATGCACAAAAATTATTGCCCTTGCTTAGGCCTGGACACATTTTCAGGCGGATGTGGGTCTCTGAGCAAACAGCAACGCAATTTCTGTGTGTGTGTCCCTGCCATCTCTTTTTGTCCATGTATCTGTATCTGTATCTGTATCTATCATTGAAAGCTGATAACTGCCATAATTAACTGGGGCCAGAGAACCCACAGTTGATTGGGCAGACAGGAGACTAGCATAGAAATGATTTCCTTAATCGATTGAAGAAGAATCTCAGCCTGGGCATTCTTCACGGCACCCCTCACGGCTTACACAATCAATCAAGTGCGGAATGGGAGTCGTAGTCAGCCAGGGAATCATCCCCAGTAATGCCCGTAGAATCAGGCAATCAACAGGAGAGGACAGGAGTTTTCCTGTTGAGTCTTACGTTCTGGTTCGTTTTTAATTCTCTTGGCATATATGAATAAATAAGCTGCTCTTTCATTCACACTTCACGCACACACACAGTTAGAGCTGTGCAAACACATAGATACACTCTCTCTATCCCTTTATCATGCACTTTCTTTTCCGAGAGTGTGGCAAGTAATTCTTTCTCCCTTTTTTTTGGTACTGTATGACAGACAAAAGTTTATCATCTGGCACGTTGCACTTCATTGTTTTTGTTGTTGTTTCTCTCTGCCTGTGTGTGTGTGTGTGTGTGTGCGATGTATCTGTGTGCTTAACATTTGGTCCGTGTCTGTTTTGCATGTTTTTTGGTAGGAGAAGCTTGTCTTTGGACTTGGACTTGAGGCTGGACTCGGAGTCGGATTCGGACACGGACTCAGACTCGGGCTTTTATGCCCTGAAATAATTGCTGTTTTTATATCAAATATTTTTAATAGCTTTTTTAATTGGCTTGTGCATGTAAGAGTTGTAGCATTTATATTGCATGTCCTCAAGATAAAGAAACAGTAACAGTGAGTTTCGCAACTATAAAACCATTTTTAAGTGGAGTTTCACAGCAGAAAAAGTTGAGCTGCAATAACTACAGAAAATTATATTTATTTGCCACTGATTATGGTACATGCACCGAGAGAAAAATGGCATCGTAAAAATAAAAAGAGCCATATTTTAATTAAATATTTTAAATAAATATAAAAAACTTGTATTTACATTTAAATATTCTTGAAAATAATTTTGATATGGCCCATAATTAAACTAAATATAAAAAGCGCCTTAAAATAAATATAAAAACTTGTTTGTAGGAATTTTAAATATAAAAAATATTTATATTTAATTTAAATGTGAAATATATATTTTTTTTAATTTGAAATATATTTATTTTGAATAAGAAATATAGTTAAAAGGAAATTCATTTAATTTAAGTATAAAATATATTTAATTAAATATTCCTCCTTTTTTAATTAAGTACCATTATTAGCAGATAATTGTTAATTAAATAAATAAATAAATATTATTAATTTAATTGAGAAATAAATTGAATTTATATATGTATATTTGAAATATATTTAATTGAAATTTTTATTTAAATATGAAATGTACTCAATTGAAATAAATAATATATGTGTAATTTAAGTATATACAAAATATTTAATGTAACTAAAAAATATATTTCATTGAAATATGAAATATACACAATTAAAATATATGCAATTTAAAAATGAAATATGTTTAATTTGAATACAAAAAAATTTAATTTTTAGTTAATTTAAATATTAAATATTTTTCATTTAATTACGAAATATATTCAATTTGAATATAAAATATATTTCATTTAAATAAAAACTATATATTTGATTGAAATATGAAATTTATTTAATTAAAATATATTCAAAAAATAAATATATTTAATTTAAATATGAAAAATATTTTTCATCTAAATGCGAAAAATATATAATTTTAATCAAATATTTCCCTTCTCGCGACATCTCATTGCAAAAATAATGCCATAAAAATGAAAAGAGTGACACTACACTATCGAACCGCACTGTAGCCCCGTTAAGAAAGGCTTTCTGCATTCGGCCTCGATTTTCGTTGGCTGCTGGGTATTTTATTCATGAAAATACAGCCTCCGAAACTGTGAAATTAATAGTGTGGCATGTGGCATGTGGCAAGTGGCAAGTGGCATGTGGCATTCGCCGCCTCCCATGCTTGCCGCCCAAGGTTTATGTTTATTTAATTTGCGAAAAGTGCCCAAAACAAATACACGCTTGATTTATTCGCAGCAATTGGCAAATGTTTGCCATTCGCATTTATCCGTTTGCCTTAAAGGATGTTCAAGGATGTGTTCAAAGATGTGTGTGTGTGTGTGTGTGTGTGTGTGTGTTTTGCTTACCTCCTCGTGCTCCCGTTGAAATTTTTCCTTTTTCCGCATGGCCTCCTGGACTTTCAACTGAAATTGGAATAATTTGTAGTCGTAGTTATTGCTGAGTGATTTTGTTTATTTATGAATGGCAGTGGAACTAATTTTGTTGGCCCAGGCCCAGGCCCAGGCCCAGGCCTTGGCAACAGCAGCAGCAACAAGCAACAGACGTTGACAGGACGAAAACCGTTGGAGTTTGCTTTTAGGCGTGTCCTGGGTGGGTCTTAGAGGGTGGGCATGGCGGCCTTTGCATTATGCATTTTCCAAATGTTTTGTGCTGCCGCTGTTGCCGCTGCTGCCGCTGCAGGTGTCGCTGTCTGTTTTGTGTTGTTGTCGCCGCTGATTGCATTCTGCTGCTTGTTTTTAGTTGGGCGCCGTGCGCGCTGTCATTAATAATGAATGTTGACGGCAATGAACTTTTAAATGTTGCATGCATCTACACGCTTCCTCCTCTGCTGTTGCTGCTGCTGGTGGCATGCCATTACAGGTAAACGTGCTCAAAAGCAACAGCCGCAGCTTTCGTGTTGAAATTGCATTGCAAATGCAGTCGCACAGGGGGCTGCTGTTCGTTTTGGGGGTAGCGGCTGGGGTTTGGGTTGATTGGGGCGAAACTTTCTTCTTGTTGTTTTGTGCAAATTTTTCTCTGTTGGGGTAAAATTTGTTGGCTGTCGCAGCTGTTGCAACAGCAGCAGCAGCAGCAGCAGCAGTGGCAGTGGCAACAGCAGCTTGTTAAATTTGCTGCATAAATATTTATGCGACTATGCCAACATTTAACCAAGCCAATAAGCATTCCACCCACTGCTGTGCACATAGATACGCACATAGACATATATACCTATGTATATGCATAAAATATACAAAATTACATACACTTGCGGTCAACAAAGTAGGGGTGAGTGCCTAGGTTTCAATAAAAATCCTCTTGCTGAAGGTTAGGGTAGGTTATGGCGGTAGCTGGGAAGGGGGGATGGATTCCTCCTCCACCTTGAAGGGTTTGACAATCTAGAGGCGGGAGTGCCGTGCTACAAAGGACTTTTGTTGAAACCTTTCTTCAATTTTAAATTTATTTTGGGTTTGATCGAATGAAGGATCGTATTTAGGTTTTTATCCTTAATTTGTGTCATCAAGGTCGAAGAATTTGGAGGGAGATATTATTTGGTTCAATTATCTGTCCAGTTTTCTAGGGTAGAGGTCCTCTTAGACCATCCCTTTGTGCAGGTAGACTTGATTCTCGCAAGACGCCTCGCAAATAGGTTTTTGAAGGATTGAATGAAAGTTCTCTAGGCAGAGCAGACATTTCAAGAATGTCTCAAGATCTGTTGTGGGAGGAAGTCTAAATAATCTGCTATGAATGGCTTTGGGCTGCGATGAGACCGTATGTAAGACACGATGCCGATAGTTTTAGGTATATCCTTATTAATTATTCTCTGACTCAAACTTTTTTCTCTCACAACGATTCCAAAAGTAAATCGAAACCGATCGGCCCGCGCTCTGCAACCTTATCGACGTTTTTAACCGATATATACCATTGGTATCTCCCACAGAGTGTATGGTATGATATGGTGTGGTAGATACCAAGGAGCACTGTGTAGTATTATTGATTATTGTTACTATTTCATTATGTTTCATTTTTTTCTCCAAACACGAATTCCTTTCTTTGATGGAATGATCCATCCAGCGTCGATCTCCATCCCTAGCCGTATTTTTGGTATTAGCCGTTTTGGTTAGCCGTATTTTTGGTATTTTTCCAGTGTGGCCGTACACTTATGGATTATTAATGTACACCAGGGATGTCATGTTGGCGGATAGGTGCTCTCCTACCACAGTTCTACTCTCTATTCCCTAAACTATTAAGTATTCCCCATCCCCTCTTAATCTTTTACCCTATCATCTGTCCTGTTGGAACACCCCTAATATTCCCACCTCTGCTGTAGCTCGTGGCCCTTAAGATACCCTTGTGTAATGGCTTACCCTATGGATTGTCTCCTCGAAACTGTGCTGCTGTCCGCCCGCACCGCCGTTTATCATTTGAAAGTGCCGCAGACGATCGTTGGCGGCCTGAAAAGAGAACCAGAAAAAATCAATTTAAATTTAAAGGAAAAGGAAAAAACTTTTAAATGCAATTTCTGTTAAGGGTTCTCCATTGCTGGTTCTGTTGTGGCTTATTAACCTTCTTGGCTTTTGGCCGAGAACTTTCTGGTCTGCTCATAAATCAAGGACTCCGACTACTTGATGGGGCAGCGGGCATTGCGTCGTGCTTTATCGCCATTAGGGACGCCATTTTCTATTTAACACCTTTCGGCGGGGTTTTAATTTTTAATTAATAACGAGTCAAGGGTCAGGTTAGGGTCGTGCCGGCCTTCGGAGCCTCTCTGGCCCTCTGTGTTTAATGCGTTTGTTTTCTTATCATGAATAGCAAATCAGGTGGGGGCGGGCGGGCGGTTGGAACACATGGACCAGGCCCAGGACCAGGCCCAGGACCAGGTGAGTGCCTGTTTAATTATATTTTGAAAGGGCCCTGGATCCGGGCTAGAGGATGCTGCTACTTAGGCACATATCCTTAGTCATTTCCTGCGCTTATCTGCAGCAGGTCCTAGCCGTGGCAGGCTACTCCCCCACTCGACTCCATCTGCTGCTCTCCCCCGCAGTTTATTATTTATATTTCTTTCCCCCCTCCACACCCTCTTTCTCTTTTGGCTTCGTGTTGCTGTGCTCTTCTTTTATTTATTCTTTTCTTTCGCCCGGTGCTCCGTTGGTGCTGCTTGTGAAAAATTTATGCATGTCCTTGCTTATTTATGAGCAGCGTCGTCGTCGTAGTCGTCGTCGTAGTCGTCGTCGTAGTCGTCCTGGCCGCGTTATCTTTGGCCACAGTTTCACTGCCATGCCCCCAAGAAGAGACCGCCCTTCTGCCACTTCTGCTCCCCAAAGCAGCAGCCGAGGAGCTCTAATCAAAGGCGCTGAATGAATCCTTTGTGAGCGGCGCAGATAAAGCGAGTACAACATTAGGGAGGATGCTGCAGCGGCGACGGCCAAGAATGAGAAGTGGCAATGTAGACATGGCCGCTGGCAAAACATTTTTAACCTTTTCAGTGGAAAGCAACGGCAGCAGCAACGGCAGCAGCAACGGCAGCAAAGAAGAAGCAGCGGACATAAAAATTTACATGTCCCCAGGGCCAAGATTAAGTATGGCCACGGTACGGGCTCCCAGGCACAGGACGGGGGGACAGGCCCAAGTCAAAGTCAAGACGCAGAAAGTCATAAAATGGCTGACTAGAAGCAGCAATGCCGGAAAGGAAAATGCTGCGAAAACCCAATGCGAAATGCGAGCAAATAAATTGAAAGAATTACCGCAGCAGTTGATTCAAATGAAAGGCGGGAGCAGGGGCAGGGGCAGGGGCGGGGGCAAGGGATCTGGGTAGAGGACAAACAATTTGCTTGCGGTCATAAAACGAAGCGCGAAAATGAGTTTCCCCCTCCTCAGTGGTGTAAAAGGGCCAGGGGGGGGAATGTATGTTTTCTACTTACCCTGGCCTGGGCGCCATTTTGTTGATTGTTGCGATCCCGTCGATTGACAGTTTTCAAGCCTTTCAACAGTCGGGCCAAAGTGGTGCGTTTCTTTGTCTCGCGTCCCTCTGGAGAGTTGAGAGTGGAGAAACAGAGAGAAACAGAGAAATAAAAATTGAATTAGTAAAGGGAATTCAAGGAAATACTATAAATATTCCATCAGTTGCTCCACCACTTACCAGCAGTCGGTGGAAATTCGTAGAAATATGCAGAACGGGGACTCAGGCAGCTACGAGGGAGAGAAAGAGAGAGGGAGGGAGAGAAGGCATATAAGTAGGCTTCAGTACTTCCGGAAACACTTGATTTTCACAGGATTTATCGCGATTTTTATAAAGAAAAATGTATACTTTTTTTTTTAGTATTTTTAGTATTTTTTCTTTAGTATTTTTTAAGTATATTTAGTATTTTTTGTTTTTTAGTATTTTTTTAATATTTTTGTATAGTATTCTTTTAGTATTTTTTTGTATTTTTTTTTATATTTGTTAAAATTCTCAAAAATAGTATATTTCTGTGGCTGCCACTCACTTTTGTTGCACAAAATTCAGATGTGCCACATTCGGTGGCAGTGTCTGATGATGTTGCGGTCCCACGCCGGGCTGTCCGCCTCCTGCCTGCTGCTGGCCGGGCACGAGTGGCAGTTGCTGCTGCTGCTGTTGCAGTTGCTGTTGCATCTGCTGCTGCTGCTGTATGCTCTGTTGCGTCTGCAGCGTTTGCTGTTGCAGCAGCTGCTGCTGTTGCGTCAGGCCGCCGCGTGCCACACGCGGTGCAAACACGCCATAACCGAAGCCATAGATTTCGTCCTCCTCCTTGTCGGACAAGCAGCTGGAGGGCTACAAAAGAGAGGTTTACAAAATTACTAGAGGAAATTTATAGTGGAATATAGGAGTATATATAGAGCGGCGAAAACATGCAACATGCGGCACAGGCAATACAAATATTTACACAATTATAGAGAGATCTAAAAGGAATTTTTCCGATGGTTTTTCTTTGTGTGTTTTCAAGCCAAATCCACGCCAACATCAACCAAAATTTGTCTTTCTTTCTTGATAGATTCTGTAAATATTTTCCTTGCAACTACTAGCGGGGGGGCGGTCTGTGGGGGGTGGTGGGGTCTCTAATGGGTCTCTTTTTGGGTGTGTGTTGGGGGGTAGTGGGGGTGGTGGGGGCGTGCTCCTTCGAGTGGCAGGGGAGGGGTCATACATACCGAATACTTTCCGGGCACATAAATGGGCTGACTATGACTATTGGGCAGACCGGCGCCGTGCATCGAATGCCCCCGATGGCCGTGCTTCTGACGGTGATGGATTCCCATGCCGACGCTGCCGCTGCCGATACCGCTACGATTGCTGCCGCCACTGCCGCTGGCACCGCTGGCGCCGCTGGCACTGCCACTGCCGCCAGCACCGCCGCTGGCGCTGGCGCTGGCATTGTGGAGCGGACTGTGATCCGCCCAGGCCGCCTGCCTGGCACTCTCTAAAGCACTTAAAATATCTCCAAAGGGAGCCATTAACAACTCACAATAGACGGATGCCAGGCCCTCTAAATGGCCGCGTTGTCCATCCTGCAAAACACGACGATAGAATAGCACCAAAGAAAATCAAAGTTTACGTTTTTCGTTCCACAAGGGGGCAAAGGGGCAAAGGGGCATGGAATGACAGAGAGAGGTAGAGAGAGTTGTGTGAGCAGTAGAGTTATGAATGCTAATGTGCAGTGGTTAAAAGAGAGAGCGAGAGAGCAATGGATGATAGCTGGCTCTCTCTTTCTCTGTGTGTCTTGAGAGGAGCATGAGGTTAGAGATTGATGTTGGCGTTGGATGGGGGTTAATTAATAATTCAATTAGGACCGGCACCGGCTTTTACTGGACTACATTCAAAATTAGGAAAAAAAAAAACCACACACATTAAAATTATCGAAAAGGTGCACATATTGGGCCTCCCCAGAGGGCCTCTAATGCACTTAGACGGGGCATAAATTATGGCGCCCCATAAAGGCCCATCTGTACACGCATCTTATTTACAGTTGGGGCGCCCTTTGGAGTGCCCCTCCCCTGCCTGCAAAGAGAGAGAGAGAGACACACACATAAAGGGAGGGATACACACACACACACAAAGGGGAGAATGCCACGCACTTTTTCATTGCATACCTGCAGGGGCAATTTTTACAGACAATCCAGAGGTGGAAAAATAAATGTGTCTGCCAGGAAACTGAGGTACTTTCGGTGGAGACGGGGGAGGCTATGAGGGGGAGGCCATGGGGGCAGGCCGTGACACTTTGAGTGGCGCTCGGGGCCATTGTTCCACGGCCATTGCCATCCCCGGCTTCATTGGTGCCTCGCAATGTGGCATCAATCAAATATGGCACGCATTAAAATATCGCATGCGTGTGCCCCGTCATGGGGTGCCCCAGCAAATTGACAGTCTTTTCACCTGCGTGGCGTGACGCCGCGGACCATAGGGTACCAAGGGTATATGGCGTTACCAGTAGGATAGATTCTACTTCCTTCTTAGAGGGTATCCTTGTGGTCGCCAGGCCACCAGTGGAGCGGCAGGCAAGGGGCGTGTGTACAATTTGCAAGGAAATTGCCGCGTTTAGCGTAATTTTTGCTACTTATTGCCTCTTTGACTAGGCGGAGAGCTCCTTTTCGTTCTCCCGCTTCCTGCCACGTTTTTTTTTTTTTTTTTTGCCCTTTTACGCTTTGGGTAATTTCACAATGAGCCCTTGAGGCGCTGGCCTGCTGTTATTGGCCTTGTTTGGCCTTTTCATTAAAGGTTAACTCGGCAAGTGTCAACTTTTGATGAAGGATCCCGGCGTTTTAATGCTGGGGAACCTGTCCCCTTTTCAATTTTCCCAGCTCTTCTGTTCATATGAAGAAAAATAAATGTACTCTCGCCTCATTACGATCCTCCGCACAAGTTTATTATGCAATTCCTTGTTTATGTCTCATCTAGGAGTACGGAATCAATTTCATCTCTGGATTGGATTGGATGTTGTGCCCTCCTCACTGGCCTCATCATCGTAACAGCAAATTCATAAAGTCATTTGCAATTTGTGCTGTCAAGGAGCAGGGCGGACAGCCAGTGCTTATAGTTATGGCCGGCACATTCGCTGGCAAGAGCAAAGCAAGCAAAATAACTGTCGCAATAAAATAATTTATTGAAGTTTCGCAATGCCAGCGACAAATGCAATAAACTGCGAACGAACTCGACTCTGTCTTGGGTCTCTGCCTCTCTCGATCCATGGCTTCCCGGCTCACATGACGTATGCGTTATAAATTTATTTTCAATAGCACTGCAGGACTCTGCCCCGGAACCAGAAGGAGCTAGCAGGAGCAAGCAGGAGCTAGCAGGAGCATCATCTGAGCAGGCTGGGGTTTATTGGCAACTCTTGACACACATCCGCGTGTGTGAGGAGGGAAGAAACGTGGAAACGCGGCAGACCAAGACAAACAGCAGGCAGCGCGGCAGCATCTGAGGATCTGTGAACGGGTGCCAGGATAAAGGATAAAGTGATGTATGAGTTTAACGCCCTCACGTATCGCGCAGACAGCAACAGCGACAGCGACAGCGACAGGACCTTCCTGGTAGCTGTTGCAAAAACTTGTCTAAGCACGAAAAAAATATTAAGCGTGGAAATGTGTTGCCACGATATTGACAGAATGAATCAGAGAGGGGTTAAGGTGGTATGGAGCTGGATAGCAGCAAGAGAGAGAATTTTTGGCAGAAGCCAAAAACTTTTTGGCAACGAATTCTGTTATTTCTGGTTCTCTGCTTCTGGCCAAACGACTTTGTTTATTTCGTACGTACACTCGTATTCCATTCTGGTAATCAGCTCCTGGCTACTGGCTCCTGGGCTCTGGGCTCCCCCGAAAAACAAATTACAACTGCACTAAGACAACAGGCTAATAACTTTTGACATGTGATTCTGCAAGTGGCATTGGGTTTACTGCTTATTCGGGCTACGTTTGCTCATTAGCCCCGGACACGGATGGGGGCCCAGTGCCCATCCGTGCCCTGCCCTGTCCTGGCTCGGGGCTGTCAATTTTTTGCGCAAACTTGTCTTGGCACTCGACTTGCGGCCCGCTAATTGATGACGTCGCCGCAGCCTCAGCGAAAGAAGGCAGCTCCCATGACAGAGGGTACTTGGACTGAGGCGAACAGGTTGCTGCTTGAATCACGAAAAAATATACTCTTATGGGAGTCCTTTGCAGCAATCAGTACTTTCGGATGAGCGGAAATATTAAAAACGTGCAGTTGGCTGCTTGAATCATGAAAAAGAAAATACCATCAAATATGGGATTTTTTTTGCATCGCAATTCTATTTAATATGTGTTTGTTTTGCAGCAATCAGCACTTTCGGATGAGCGGAATATTCAAAATGATCAGGATGCTGCTTAAAGCCTGAAAATATCATTGATTATGGGATTCTTTTGCAGCAATCCATCGAAATTCCATCGAAAATGGGAATCTTTTGCATCAATCAGTACTTTCGGATGAGCGGAATGTTCAAAATGTACAGGTTTCTGCTTGAATCATGAAAATATCATCGAAGATGATTATCTTTTGCAGCAATCCATCGCAATACCATCGAAAATGGAAATATTTTGCAGCAATCAGTACTTTCGGATGAGTGGAATTTGCCATATCTGCCTCGTACTCGAATGAGAGACGGTGGAACGAACTGGCTCGTTTTTCATGCCCCCCAGAAAGATAGAGCATTCGTTTATCTCCAGCAAAAGTGTGTGAACGAAATACATATTCCACTCCATTCCATTCGTTGGCAAAATCCGTTTAATGAGCAAACAAAACGCACGCAAGAATTACAAAAGAACTGGGCAGTGAAAGTGGCATTAAGCAAGGGGGGTTCAGGGGTAGCTGGTCAGTCCGGGCGGTGGGGGGTCTGTATTTACACAAGTCTTCGAGAGAGGTGGAGAGAGGGTGAGCGAGCAGCCGCCACATGCACAAACACCAATTAGAGTGACCACAAAGCAAACAATGGGGCATCAATTAAGGGGACAGAGCTTAGCCCTCGGACTCCTTGAGTTTGAATTTCTCATCAGCGGATCGGATGGGCAGTCAACCATTGAACCGTTCAAGCATCCATCAATTGCAAATTGTAAATCGCAAAATCTATTTGCAAGTCACAACACAATCGCCGATGGCTCGCAGGCCCTCCTCTGGCTGGGAGACAGATCCGTTTCCGTTGGCTGTAATCAGCTGAAAGAAATCAACTTGGAGGCCAAAGCGTTCACTGAACTGATGTCCATGTCGGATGTCAGCAGCAACAACGAGCACTTAAGGGTTAATTTCATAAATTGTACATCAAAGAGGCAACAGATGGGGGGTGCTGGTGCTGGTGCTGGTGCTGGTGCTGCGGCATTTGCCCTGCAGTTGACAATTTTTGAAAGTCAGTGATTTGTAAATAATCCTTTTATAAGCACAATGGCTGCTCGTTAACGGCAAATGAGTTTTGACATGGCCAGTGGACAGCCCTCCCTCCCCGCACACACACGCCTCCACTGCTTATCGCTGTGTGACAATCTGGGAATGAGGCCCTGAATAATGCCTGGCCATTCACACAATCATCATCGTCATCGTCATCGTCATCATCATCGTTGTAGTCCTGTAGTCCTGGAGTCCTGTAGTCCTTGTCCTGTTGCCTTGTTCTTTTCCCTGGCCATTTCAGGCAACACCATAATGCCAGCTGGTTGTTGCTTTTCGGTGCTAATATCCCGCATACATGCAAAGTTCCTGCCCCCCCTGCCCCCCTGCCAGCCTCTACAGAGGCTTTCCATTAAGGAAAATGCTATTTTGTACTTTACATCCTCCTACATGAGCATGGAGGAGCGGCAAACTCAAGACCGAAACGAAACTATGTTAACTTGTTAAAAAGCACAAAACTTGAGGCGTTTACTACACTTCCACTCGGTGCTGCTGTGCTGCTAAAGGAATTCATTAGCCAGGGGAGGCCAGGAGTATCGACAGACAGGATGCCTCCTCGGTGTGTCTGCTGCCTAAAAGTATTTTCTAATTAAATACTCATGTTTTACAATATGGCGCTGACATTCTGCGGAAATGCCTTTTAATTTCCACATTTGAGATGCTCATGGGCACATGTGGCACAGGGGGGGGGGGGGGGGCATAGGGGTGGAACATTTTGAGTTTAATTTGCCAGAAATGAGTTTTAGTTTTTCGACGACGACGCACACACACACACACACAAACACATTTCATCTTCAGCCACTCTTTTGCCATATCATTTCCGCTGAAAAGGGGGGTGGCATGTGGCATGTGGCACGCTGCTCTCTCTCACATACATTAGCAGCAAATAATTTAATTTCTCATTTGTAAAGTGATGGAAAAATCATTTGAAACAGCGACAGAGAGAGTGCAGTGGGGGGGGCGGGCATTAAAAAGGGTTGTTTCGCCCCGCCCAAAGAAGCAATGGGAAAAATTACGCATACGCCACGTTTGACATAAAATTGCGCATAATGACGGGCACGCTGTGGCAGCTGGAGACTGGGGAGACTCGTCCTGGAGCCTGCGTTAAAGTCACGAGGAGTCA